CAGAAATCTGGCCGGATTTTAGCCAGTATCCGGCCGCATAGACGGATAACAGAATAGCGGCCGGATAAGCCGGATTCCGGATATCTACGAGATACCCGGCACATCCCTAAACAAAAATTATCGAAAATTATTTGATATGGAGAAATTGAGCGACACCTTCAACAAAAAAAAAAAAAATGCCAAAAATCAATGGTAAGCCCTAGCTACCTTAGACTTGCACTTTATTATTCTAATTGAATGGGCTAAAAAACTGCATATTCAACTTTTTTCTAAAGAGTGTAAATAAAAAGTGCAATATTTGAATGAAAATTTGCAGAATTTTCTTTTTATTTGGTACAAGGCTTGGAACACTTATTCTTGGGTTTTGTTGTTTTAGAATGGTTAATTTTATAAAAAATTTGTGAAAAATAAAATATTTAAAAAATAGTTGCCCGGATTGCAAAAAATTCGCTGTAGGGCCATTCCATTGTGAGTGGTGGCTCATTTTACTCCAGAATTTGATCAATTGTGAACTTTAGCTATTTCGTTGGAACTTATACAACAGCGAAAGATATTTTTTAACATAAAACGATAACTTATGTATAAATTGCTTTAACAAAAATATTAACCGATTTTTTAAAAGTATCAATAAACAAAAATTACAACTTCTTCAGATTTGTTTAGTATATCCCAACAGATTAATGAAATTTAGTCATTTAAAAAGAGGTTACTACTGAAAGAGAGATAACTAGGGCATAATTATATTTATGTCGTTTTCCTCTTTTCAATGGAATGACCTGTACCTGATTTTATTTACTGACTGCTGTACATATATTTTTTTACAACAATCACAAAAATTAATAAAGCGGTATCAATAATTTTCATCTCTGGACATCTCGAAGCCTATCCCGGAGTATGTGAATGTCTCTATAAATGTGGTGCAAATCTAAATTTATAAAACTGACATTCATACGAGTCCTGTACAACAGCGCGTGCCCTGTAAAAACAATTTCATTATAATTCTTTAGGTAAATGTCTTCTTAAAACTTTTGTTGTTTTAATTAACATTGATGTACCAAAAATTCATTTTGATTTTTTACAAGTATCATCAATTTCACTGAAATTTCACAGCATCTATGATTCATGGTAGACTAGAGCTGTCCCGCACACAAAGGCAATTTATTTTGGATTGCTTGGGCGAATATCTTCCAAAAAGATTTTCTGCTTCTGGTTAGTACTTTACGATACAAACGTTATGAACTAGATACTTTGCTTTATATATTTTTACTTTGCCTTTAATTAGAACCGTAAACTGAAAAATTCGCACGACCCAGAAGATAATTTAGGTAGGTCTTCTTAAGTAAAGCCATTCTAAGAGGCCTACCCAAGAAAGGCTGAAAAAAGTGCTTTCTTGCATGCCTTCTAGAAGGGCTAATCCATTTAGAATTTACGCGAATGCATAAATTTATATTATTTAGCATTACAAATGAATTTCACCCCTATTGCGAATGACGACTGGCAGTAGATAAACGACTATTAAGCTATTATTGATTATCGATGCTATTGTAAGTGTCGCTTGGTCGCTCAATTAGCGACTGTGAATACTTTTTAATCGCTCATCCTTCTATAGATGTTTTTTAACCGACTACCCAAAAAAGAAAATGTTATCAGTTCGTAGAAATACCACGTTAACCGATTTCGATAATTCCCTTTTCATCGGACAGGTGGTACTTCAAGGGTGGTCTCATACTAATTTTGTTTAGATCCGATAATTGGACCGTGAAGAAATTAACGATAAGCTTAAATTTTTATATGAGAATGAAGTCGGTTTTGTTTTTTGCTTAAAAGGTACTTGTTATTCGTTAGAGTTTATGTTTATAAACTTTACACAAGAAGGTGGTACTATAATGGATAACAAGTAAGTCAATTGAACTGGAAGTGGTAAAAAATTGTGGAATATATATATGTATGTATGTGTCTGAATTACAGATCAAAAATTGTAAGCAAAGAAGGTAACTTGCGCGGTTGGTCGAGCTGATGCAGGAAAATGAGGACCTAGGCAAAGGAATTTGCGGAAAGAGTAGGGGCGAAAGCTCCGCTTCTATTGTGAAAGATATACAACATTTCTTGTGCATAAAACTCCAACTACGCTATCCGCAGTGTTTTTGCGCAGAACCAATAACAAAGTTTACAAAAAACTGCATAATTTATTAATTAACTAGTGCTCGGAAATTTTAAATCTTTATTTTAAAATAAAGCTTAATTGTTTCACTACACGTGTGTGTTAAAATTTTTTAAATCGGGTCACGCGTTTGGACACAAATACCCAACATCATTGTACAAAAAACTAAACCGTACCGTATTTCTTAAACTACACCTTTTCCAATTGTACTTCGGATATCGTAAAATGTACTTCAGATTAGTCAACTGTACTTCAGAAAGCCTAAAATATACTTCAGAAACCGTAAAATAGACTTCAGACTAGTCAATTGTACTTCATAAACCGTAAAATATACTTCAGATTAGTCAATTGTACTTCAGAAATCGTAAAATATACTTCAGACTAGTCAATTGTACTTCAGAAACCGTTAATTGGACTTCAGATTAGTCAATTGTACTTCAGAAATCGTAAAATATACTTCAGACTAGTCAATTGTACTTCAGAAACCGTTAATTGGACTTCAGATTAGTCAATTGTACTTCAGAAATCGTAAAATATACTTCAGACTAGTCAATTGTACTTCAGAAACCGTTAATTGGACTTCAGATTAGTCAATTGTACTTCAGAAATCGTAAAATATACTTCAGACTAGTCAATTGTACTTCAGAAACCGTTAATTGGACTTCAGATTAGTCAATTGTACTTCAGAAGCCAAAAAATGTACTTCACATTTGTAAATTGTACTGCAGAAACCGAAAAATGTACTTCAGAAACCGAAAAATGTTAGTCAATTGTATTTAAGAAACCATAAAATGTACTTCAGATTTGTAAATTGTACTTCAGAAACATATGTATAACATTTTCGCCAAAAAATGTACTTACCACAAATGAGCGCTCAACCATGAATATCAAGTAGATTACAGGCAATTTTATGCAAAGTATGTATGTATGTACATACTACATGTAAATAAATCGCATTAGATATAGCATTATGCTTGCAGTATATACATACATACGTACATTCGATTGCGATTTTTGCATTTGAAGCAATTATAATTATTATTATTATTATTATTATTATTATTATTATTATTATTATTATTATTATTATTATTATTATTATTATTATTATTATTATTATTATTATTATTATTATTATTATTATTATTATTATTATTATTATTATTATTATTATTATTATTATTATTATTATTATTATTATTATTATTATTATTATTATTATTATTATTATTATTATTATTATTATTATTATTATTATTATTATTATTATTATTATTATTATTATTATTATTATTATTATTATTATTATTATTATTATTATTATTATTATTATTATTATTATTATTATTATTATTATTATTATTATTATTATTATTATTATTATTATTATTATTATTATTATTATTATTATTATTATTATTATTATTATTATTATTATTATTATTATTATTATTATTATTATTATTATTATTATTATTATTATTATTATTATTATTATTATTATTATTATTATTATTATTATTATTATTATTATTATTATTATTATTATTATTATTATTATTATTATTATTATTATTATTATTATTATTATTATTATTATTATTATTATTATTATTATTATTCTCAAAAGAGAAGGATTTGGGGCAAAGTCCCTTCATTGGAAGAAGTGAACTGTAATGCTAAATGGATTGTAGAGCACTACTTTAACACCTGAAGTACATTTACAAAAGTGGTTTCTGAAGTACATTTCTCGGTTTCTGAAGTACATTTTTCGGTTTTTGAAATACAATTGACTAATCTGAAGTACATTTTATGGTTTCTGACGTACAATTGACTAATCTGAAATCCATTTAACGGATTCTGAAGTACATATGACTAATTTGAAGTACATTTTTTGGTTTCTGAAGTACAATTGACTTGTCTGAAGTATATTTTACGGTTTCTGAAGTGCAATTGACTAATCTGAAGTCCAATTAACGGTTTCTGAAGTACGTTTGACTAATCTGAAGTACATTTGATGGTTTCTGAAATATATTTGACGCTTTCTGAAGTACTATTAGAAAAGGTGTAGTTGCGTTCCAGATACTTCACGATTTGCAGGTTTTTACAAGAAGCTGTTCCAGGTGGCCACCTTCCATAAAACAGACGAAAGCAGCTTTTCCTGCAAATCCTGTAAAACCTACAAACCGTGAAGCATCCGGAACGCAACTACTATTCATAAAATTCACATGTGTACATACACTTCATGTTCCAACTCCAAGGGATTCGACGAATCTCGCTCCTCCTTGCTTCAGCCAACTCTACTAATCTATTTGCTTCCACAGCATCTTCCTCGTCACTAAACCATATTCCCACTGTATCCATTTTTTTAATTTTATAATAAAAGCAATTATTTTATAGATGATGTAAATGAAACACTAAATAAACAAATGTAAACAAACAAACAGCTGTTTACAATTCAGTCAACCATTCACAATAATACAAATTTTTATCGATCAAGTTACACAATATCAAAATAAAAGATAATCGACTCGATCGACAAATTTCTATTCGGCACTCGCAATAGGGGCCTAAATAAGTTTTAAGTTGCAATAACAGATACTTGATATACACCTTAGGCAAATACTTCAAAGATGTATGATTTTTATAAATTAAAGAAGCAACTTTAAAATAACTCCTCCAAAAGTCCTTCCGAAGTACGTCCTATAAATGCCCTTCTGGAATGCCTTCCATGGGTAGCGAAAGAAGAAGCCCTTCAATTTGTGCCACTCCATACAAAATAGAAAGGAATGCAGAGTGGAAGGCCTCTTGACTCCCGAAGGCCTTTCGGAAAGGCTTTTAACTCCTGAAATTATCTACTGGGGATTTGTCCCGTAACAACGATGGATTTCTCGATTACGCGCAAATGTGCAGAAACTACTCTGAATATGCGCGTAATGGGCGGAATACCTTAAGCTACTGAACTGGTTCTTCAGAAGCTTTAATATTTTAATCGTAATATCGGTTGTTTGTGCTGGACATTGAAAGTGATGGTAATTCAGAAATTTTCAGACCCAACTGCAATATTTGTGGTCCAGACCTACATGCAAACATATATAAAGACTCACAAAAATAAGAATTAACATTCTTACCTATGGAACTTAGAAATGAATGCATCATTTACATAAAACTCATCTGTTGGATCGATATCTTTTGTCTTCGTTTTTGAGTTCCGTACCAGAAGTCGCTGCGCTGGTTTTCCCATAGACAAAGACTGAAGTGCACGCACCAATTCCCGTTCAGGGATATCTGTCTCTTGTTGTATGTCCTCATATGTTAATACATCACGATTATTAAAAAGCATTAAAACACACATCTGAAAATGTTATTATATAAATTGAATTTGTAGCTGTACGTTTTTAATATATAAACCTGATACGTTGAGACTTGCAGAATATGTTTGCGGGTATTTGTTGGCACCGTGCAGCCATTTGAGCTGGACGACATACTTGAACTGGGACCATCTTTATCTTTATCACTGTCTGCTTTACGACCATAAAAAACAGCATTTATGTATGCGGTACCTGATTTGAAAAAAAATATTTTTTTGTTATTAATTACATTAAGAAGGGTATTCAGAATGCATATAGTCTGCTAACTCAATAACGGAATCAATTAAATAATACGCACAAGCATAGTTGCCTGCGAGCAATCCATAATGTGCAATTAGCCAAGAACGAAACAAGCCCGCTGATCCGTAACTACTTTGTTTTTTACTAAGTTTTTTTTTAGTTTAACTTTTCGCCCCTTCTACTCAATCCATCGACATGAGGAAGAATCCATCAGACGAATTTGATTTTCATTAATACGTGGTTTTTTCTTCGGAAAAACTACGTCTAAAATATGTTTTTAATTATTTTTTTTTAACTTGCCATGTTTCGACACTTCAACAGTTTTTTTCTCAAAAACTGGACGCGCTAAAAAAATTTTTTAAATGCACTTCAAATAAGCATGAAAAATCTATAGGTCGGACCAGTTTTTGTGATAAAACACAACCAAATTTTGTTAAGCTGTGTTCTTGGATTTATAATTCTGAAAAAAAGTAATTTTTAGATTTCTTTTTACTTCTTTTAAATTAAAATATTATTATCTTGTTACATTAAACGAGCAATTCTTGTATATGGGCGACTCCACCGTCACGGGTGGGACATTTGAATAGAAAAAATTGGTGTTTCTTGTTTAAATTTAAGTATTAAGTACTGAACAATTCTACATTTTGATAAAGCTACACTAATCCACTATTATATAAGTTATTACAAGATACGAAAAAAAATGCCAGCTTACTTTTATACGGAAAAAATCTGAGTTATTTCTTCTGTCACGGGTGGGACAAAAAAAAAGAACCTGCTTTTGGGAGCAGATATATTTTACGAAAACTCTGCGAATTTATTTCACTTTTCTGTGTGAACTTGTTGTCTTATAATAAAACATAGAACCACGAATGCAAACAAAGCAAAAACTACAACAAAAATTATGGCTTTATTATAAAAAAAATCCGAAATTCCTCTGTCACGGGTGGGACACCACATGAATTTTTATATGAAATGGAGCTTTTAGTGTGGACCATATTAAAGATTAGTTATTAAAAAAAATAAGAAGCCAAGTAGGCACCGTCAGCCAAAAAAAAATATTACAAATCAACGCGCTCTCCTAGCGCCTTTTCACTTTTACTTATTTAAATTTAATACGCTATAAAACTGCATACCTAGAATTTTTCTAAAAATTATGAACGAAAAGTTTAAAATTTTTGGGTGCAACTGTTAAACTTTGTTGAAATTTATAATTTTTGTACGAAGTTTGAAATGTGGATTTATGTGGTTCTGGTTATAAAAAAAAAATCTAAGAACATTAAACAAACAAAAGAAAAAACCAAAACTGGTCAAAATGTCACTTAACTTGATCAGCTCACCACAAGGGTATACAGGTAATGGGCGAGTCCGCGCTTCCGCCCTTCTCCCCTGCGACCACCTCAACAAACAAATAAAGCTTACCAGCCCTGTAAACCTACCTCTGGCAACTGTACCACCCGTAGCTGTCAAGGGTGGAATGTGCTTGACTGTTGAATTATTCTTATCTAACTACGTGGAAACGACAATGCAATTGTGGTAAATATTTGCAATGAATTTCTAACATTATGTAACACGAGCACGAAACACAAGACCAATACTGCTTAATAATAACTTATAATCACCCTCATTGCGACAGTCGTGTCGAATGCAAGTCGTTTTTCGATAGTCGAATCGTATCGAAAATCTCACGCCATTGCCTAAAATTTCCACTCGACTAGTGTATTAAAACGGAAAAATTTGGCAGCACTGTATAGTTTTCGGCGATTTTCGTCGCTTACTTATTTCAGCACGACAGTAGACAATGCCAATGTTGTCGAGTCGTACAATTTAGCCTAATTTACGACTTACGCAATGAGGCTGAATATAGATAAAGCACTCACACAATTTAATATATAATACAATTTTATTAAACATATTTTTCTTACCAAACGCTTGAATTAAGAATCACAGATTATTTGGCAGTACTTTCAACACAACCTACTTTCAACCTATTCAAAAAATTTACTTATAACTTGATTTTAAAACGTAAAAAAAGACAATAAAAATGCATTTAAAGCTTAAATTTGTTATTTTTTTGGTTGGTTCAAGATTTGTATTCATTTCTTATCCACACATTTGTTAGTTTTATAAAGAAAAAGCTTTGTGCTCTGAGGTTCAGTTTCACATGGAACCTCCCATATACATATTATATCGTCGGTCCCTACGAAGAGTAGCACATTTCACTATTCGCGTGGAAGACTAGCACATTTCACTATTAGCGTGGAAGACTAGCACATTTCATTATTCGCGTCGAAAAGTAGCACATTTCAGATTTTTGCGTGGAAGAGTAGCACATTTCGTTATTTGC